TCGCGGTCGGCTTTGGCCTTGACAGCGGCCTGGCGCACCTTGCCCACCACCGAGACCAGCTCGCGCGCGAGGTCCCCGCCGGCGCCGAAGCTGGTGACCACCTGCTCCAACTGGGTCGCCGACATCTGCACGGAAGGGAGGACCGCGCTGAGCGACGCCTGCGCCCCCTCGACCACGGTGGTCGGCTGAGGGAAGTGGGCCGCGACGAGCGTGCGCTGCGCTTCGAGGTCGGCCAGCTCCACCTTGATGTCGGCCAGCCCCTGGGCCATCTCCTGGCGCTTCGCCTGGAGCTCGCGGAGCTGCTGGTCGACCGCCTCCAACTGCTTTTCCTTGGATTCCTTCCGCTTCTCCACAGCCAAGATCTGCTGCGAGACGCGTTGGATCTGGATGGGGAGCGGTTTGGCCTGTAATTGGCGCGTGCGGAGCTCAGAGAGCTCCTTGATGGACAACGCCCGCAGGGCTCCCACAGCCCCGCTGCTGTCAGGCAGCTTCTCGAGGGTGTCGATCTGCTCTCGAAGCTCCTTGATACGGTCGGCGTCCTTCTCGCCACCGTCTCCAGCATCGACGTCCATAGCAGGTGCCACAGGGGCTTGCGCCCCGGCCGCTGCCAGCTTCTGGGCCTCTGCCAGCTCCTTCTTGACGCGCTGGAGCTCCGCATTGGCCTTCTTGAGCTCCTCCGACTTAGCCGAAATGGAGGGCGCTCCTCCACTGCCCCTGACCGAGTGGAAGCAGTTGCCCTTTGAACGCTTGCAGAGCTTACAAGCTGAGAAGCTTGCCCCATTCCACCAGCGCTCCCCTGTGCGGTCGTTCCAGCAAAAGCGGCAGTTCCAGGTCTTGGCATCCGCCTGCCGTTGTCGCTGCTTCTGCCCATTCGCCATGGCGTAAGGCTGACGACGAAGGCGAGGCACAGCAGGGCGGTGCACGAGCCAGCCCGCAGCCTGGTCGTGGCGAAATGTAATGGGCCGCCTGCGAGCCCAGAGGTGTGGCAGGCGAAAAGATGAATGTAGGTTGTCCGCCTGCGCACGACACGCAGGAATGCTCGGAAGGAGAGCTGCCCGCTCAAAATGGGACCTGTTCCCACTTGAGCCAAAATGGCAACGGAGCAGGAGCAGGAGGAGGAGAAGGAGGAGGAGGAGGAGGACCCCTCACCCTCCAACTTATGGTGGTGGTGGTGGTGGTTGTCGTGGTGGGTGGAAAACAGGCCTATCAAGGCAGGCGCACGCAGCATACTGTGACTCACGACTCACGATATACTGCCTGTCGAACTGTGCGAGGCTGCCGCGTGACTTGGCTTCGTCCTCTTCGGCGTGAAGTCGGTCTGCAGGTTTGTCCTCCTGCCCCTCTCTCTCCCTCTCTCCTTCTCTCTCTCTCTCTCTCTTGCGCTCCTTCTTTCTTTGTGGTGTTCGTCTCCACTCGCGAAGGCCACGTGTGCGAGCACCGTCCAACTGGGTTGGTCAACGCACGCGCGAGTGGCCGGCTGCGTCCAGCGTTTTCTGCCTGTGCTGCTCGTGTCCCATCCTCTCTCCAGGTCTGTCGCCTCCCCTCGCTTCTCCTCCACCTCTCTGGGCTTTTGCTGCGCGAGTGCGATTTTGTGGCAGGCCGCTGTCGAATCCTAGTGGGTGCGCTCACGCGCGGGATCTTGGCTTCTGCTGTGCGAGTGCGATTCTGTGCCAGGCCGTTGGCGAATCCCAGGGGATGCGCTCACGCGCGGGATCTGTCCTTCTGCATCCCGTTTCGCGCAGGGATGACAGGGGCGACATGGCGAGGACAGCCCTGTGGCAGGGTTGCCTACTCTCCGACTTGCGGCGGATAAGACAATCACCCCGTACGGCATGGAGGTGCGGCAAGGATGCAAGGGCCTCGGAGGGCCACGGCGACACTATGCGAGCGGGCTCGCGGCCAGCGAAAGCGGCCAAGGATGGGCCGAGGGGGAAGGATGCAAGGGTAAACTTGGAAAGCCGCTCATTCTCATTATGCGGTTGACTGTGGTCAAGAGGCAAGCGGGTGCGCTGCTTCCCTCTCGTCTCCTCTTCCGCCCCGTCCAGAATGGCGCTGGAGAAGAGAGGTCCTGAGAGTTCTCGCAAGTTTATAGCCTTGTGAACTTCTGCTGTCGATTTCGGTGTCCCTGATTTTTTTGCGATGCCGGTCAACGGTAGGGAGGCGGGCCCGCACGGCGGGGTCATGGCTGTCATAGTCGGCTGCTTGAGCCTGAGTAGGCCCCCGTGATCTCGACATTCTCCGAGAAGTATGCGTGTCACGCCTGGTCGAGATGTCTAGGGCTGGGCCAGCTGACAACCCGCAAGGCATTTCGCGTGGAGGCGGGCGGCGCGCGAAGCCGGAATCCTGACCCCCTGCTCCCTGATACTCGCCCAGGCGAGAGGAGCTCACTTGTACATCTTGTGCATCGTCGACGTGCTCCCCAGCGATCGCGTGGCTCAGTCCTTCTTCGATGCCCCGGGTCACTGCTCGATCCCGGCGTGGCCTCCGATGCGCTGGATCAGCCTCTTGGTCTCGGCTGTTGCTCCTTGTCCCCCTCCGTCTCTTCAAGTGCAACTGGTGCCCGGGTCATGGGAGATTCGCGCACCGAGTAGAAACGGAGTCGGCCGCGCGGACATTCTCGCGTGAGTCGGCGCTTCGGCGCCCTCTTCTCCACGCGAAGTGCCGCGCTGGCAGCCTGCGGAAGCCGCCGCGTAAGGTCGCCATGGGTTCTTGCGCAAGATCTCTGGTGTTTCGTCGCCCACCCCGATGTTTTCCCACGGGACGTCCAGCAGCTCTGCTATGCCATGATGCCCCGCCAGCGTGGCCCTGTGCCCTCTGCGGCATCGCCCACTCTGCCTGCCGCGCGCTGGCCGCTGCGGCTGCTGTCCTTGCGGGGCCAGGGTCCCGTGTCCTTCCTTCCCTCCCGTGGTCGTGTTCGCCATTGATGTGGTATCAATCAGGCAGTTCGTTTCGTTGTTCGTCTTGTTGTCTCGTTTAATGGCGGCATCGTTTCTTTTGTCGTTTTCGTTTTGCACCCGCATCGTTTTGAACGTGTCGTTCTAACTTTCGGATTCGTTTTGTTTTTCGCTCCAGACGCGAGCTCATTTTTAGAGATCGCTGTGGTCGGTCCTTGTTGATATCCCTCGATCAATCAGACAGGCCCTCTCCCTGCGGCTGCTGTCCCTGCGGGGCCAGGGTCCCGCCTTCTTCCTCCCCGTGGATCTGTTCGCCGTTGATAGCCCTCGATCAATCAGACAGGCGCTCTCCCAGTGGCTTTCCTGGCCTCGGTGCGCGAGGCGAGCCTCCTCCGCTCTCGCTCGGTGCCCGCGGCCTCCTCCTCTCGCTTCTTGGGGGATATCCCCCCGGTCCTTCGCCCCTCGCGGCTGCCCCTCCCTGGGCACCGCTTCTCGACCTGCTGGATCTCCAGGAGGAGGGAGGAGGAGGAGGAGGAGGAGGAGGAGGAGGAGGAGGGCCCAGAGCACGCGCTCTACCCAGCAGGAGGGGAGGACGGGGAGGAGAAGGGGGAGGAGGAGGAGGAGGAAGAGGAGGAGTAGGAGGAGGAGGGTGCCGTCGGGCAGACCGGCTGACGCTGCTCAAAGCAGGCCTTGAGGCTGAGGTCGCCCTTCCGCTGCCGCTCGCAGGCGCGAGCCCGCAACCTCCGCAGGGCGGATCTGCTTTCTCTTGGGGATGCCCAGGACCACCCCGCGTCGCGAAAGGGTGCGTCTGCCATGCGGAGCCCCTCTGCGAGGTCAGTCGCCGCGGAGGCATGGCGCGCTCTCCGGAGTCGCAGTAGCGGCGTTATCTGCAGTCAGACGGGCCGCGCCAGTGCAGAGGGGACAAAAAGGGGGGCGGAGGACAGAGCCGGCAAGCGTGGCGCTCGCCACCGCTACTGCTACTGTTTGTACTGCGACTGCTGCACTCCGAGGCAAGAGTATTGCTGGCAAGCGCCACAGCAGGAGTGGAGCTCCGAGGCAGCAGTGTGGTCGGCGCTGAGGCGAGGGCACCTCAGACGAGAGTGCCGAAGGCAAGACCATCAATTCGAGGCAGCGTGTGACTGCCATTGAGGCAGGAGCACCAATCTGAGTGGCGCCAAGGTGAAAGCAAAAATGCGACGGCGACGCAGGGTTGCACGGACGACGCCATGGCGAGATCACCGCTCTGAAGTAGGACCGTGATTGGTTCGTGCGCGAGAGCACCGAGTCGCGGTGGCATGTGGTCGGCGCTGGGGCGAGATCACCGATGAACGGTGAGGCATTGCCAGGCACCGCTTGAGCTTCCATGCGGCTGTTTCTAACCGCCTGGACACAATGAAACACCAGTCATGTCCAAGCCTGTTGTGGGGAACCAGCCTTATGCAGCTGATGGCATGCGCACACTTTTTGGTTTTAAGGCGCTTCTGCACAATCAGAAGATGGGCACACTATTACACACGGTTGGCTTTAAAAGTCTGTGCTGCTCGGCACAGCGCGGGCCATTTTTCTCCGCAGGCAAGAACTTTGAGATGACGTCCGTCGTGAAGCGCGCGGGGTGGAAAACGAAAGAGGGTTCTTGGGTAATACGTGGTCTGGCCATGCAATTTCGCGACGCGATCTGATTTAGTTTCTCTTTTGACATGGCTTGTTTTGTCTTTTGTGTGCTCTCTTCTGTTTGGGTGCGGAAGCAGAGGAATCGACCACATGACGTCACGTCTTATTCGGCCTGTCGGGAATGTTAACGGTACTGCAGGCTATCGGTGGCAGTGGTGGAATCACTTTGATTTCGATCGCGAAAGACAATTCCAAGACGGGCTGTTTTTGGCATGAGTGTGGGCAGTACATGTACGAGTTTGCGTTGGACGTGGTTCGTTTCTGTGGGCCCCGCGATCGCAAAGAAGTATTGCTGTAAGAAGTTTCGCTTGTTTGTGCAAGCCGAAGCTTCGCGTACATGCTGGACGCGTGCACTTTCCGGACTTGAGTTTTCGCCCCCATGCCCCTGAAGCGGATTGGTTGTGGCCCGATCGTAAAAGAGCGGCTACTCTGAAGGCAATCGGCATGACTACCATGAGTGCGCTGGAGCCTAAGGTGGGCATTTGTCTCCTGTAGCCGCCTTCCAAGATCCTAGAATGTTTTCCAATTCTGTGTGGTTGTGAGAGAGGGAGGGAGAGAGAGAGAGAGAGAGACAGAGTGTATACACTTTCATGTATATGTATATGTTTGTATATATATATATATATATATATGCGCATATGTATACACAGATATATACGTGTATATATATAAAATATATATGTGTATATGTATATGTATATGTATATATATATATATATATATATATATAAATATGGACAAGACTGCATTGGCGCTTCGCGCCATGCACCTTGGTCCTTGAAGCTTGGTATGCGAGCGTAGAGGCAGGACGGTAAACCATACACTTTAGCGATCACTTCTTGTTGCCTTTTCCGACATTGTCGTTTTAATACTGTGTTTCATTATCACTCCCCCGTGCTTCTTGTTTTTCTCTCTCATCTTCGCCCTACCCTGCGAATTCTTCCACATCCTTCTCAGCTCTTTTTGTGGAGCTTCCTCCTTGGAGAGCCTGGGGGCTTCGCTAAAGTTGTTAAGGGCTTCTAGGGGCCCTGTGGAGGCCTCCTGGGCGCTTTCTGAGGGCCTCTGGGGGCTTCCTCGGGCCACCCTGCTTCCAATCGCTGTCTCCCTGAACGACCAGGTCGCCATCTGGAATGCTTTGAGGGTCGTCTTAGGGGCCATCTTGGGCCTTATGGGGCTCTCCTGGGGCCGTCTTGGGGTCCTGTTGGGCCGTCTCGGGGCTCTCCTGGACTGATGCCTGGAAGCTCTTTCGGGCCTCCTGGGCGGTCCTGGACGCCTGGAAGACTGAAGAACAGAGCATTCCCAAATTCACCCAAAAACATTGGGAATCCATGTTTTTTTCGGCGTTCGGAAGGTCTCTTGGGGGTCTCGTTTGGGTGGTCTTCGGGCGTCTGGTGGGTGCTCCAGACCTCTCGGGGCCCTCGGGGGGGTCGTTCGGCCGCCCTGCTGCCTGATCTGGGCACGTGGCCCAGTCCCAGCAGGGGCTTCCAGGAGCTCCGGAAGGCCAGGGGGAACCTTCTGCAGGAGCGTCCAGGGGTCCCCTGGGGCCACGGATCAGGGGATCCCGTTTCTTTTCGGGGGGGGGATCTGAGGGGCCTTTTGGGTCGTTCTGGGACCATCTTGGAGGCCTTTTGGGCGATCTTGGGCGAACTTTGGGGGCTATCGGGCCGTCTCGGGCCGTCGGAAGGCCGAAAAGGAGTAAATGCCAACATCCTTGAAAAACCTTCGGAAAATCACCGATTTTCGCCTCTTCGGGCCTTCCTGGAGGCCCTCTTGGAGGCCTCGTGGGCTGTCTTGGAGGCCTCTTGCGGGCCTCTTGGGCCGTCTGCCGTCATCTTCAGGCCATATTGAGCCGTCTGGGATCCGTCGTGGGCGGACTTGGAGGCATCTTGGACCTTCTTGGGCCATCTTGGAGGCCACGTGCGACCATCTTGGGTAAACTTGGGAGGCCATCTTGAGCCATATGAGCCGTCTTGGGAGCTGTCTTGGAGGTGATCGTTTTTTTTTTTTCTGCGACTTGTGCGCCTTTCCGCGTGGCCGGCGGGACGAGCCGGAGCCCCAGGTGTGAGTTCTTTTGGAAAGAACCACAACCAAATTAGTAGGGTTCAGCACGCCAGGCACCCCTGTTGCAAGACCGCAGGGGGCGGCGGATCGAAGACGCCTACGGCGAATCACCGCCGCCCCCTGCCTTTGTGGAAGCGCCTATGTGGCCGAACGTTGAGGCCAGACCTGCCAAGCTATCGGACCATGTGTTCCCCGAATCGGTTTGGAAAGCCTTCGGGGAACACGTGGGCATCTTGAAGGTCATCTTGGCCGTCTGGAGGCCATTTTGACCCTTTCGGGTCTTCTTGGAGGACGTCTCGGAGGGCTCTTGGGCATTCTTGGAGGCCATCTTGAGCGTCTTGGAGGCCTCTTGGGTAGTCTTAGGGGGCCTCTTGGGGCCGTCTTGGGCCTCTTAGGCTATCTTTGGGGGCACTTACCTTCTCGGGCCCTTGGGAGGCCGAAAAGGAGTAAACGCTACAATCCTTCAAAAACCCATGTGAAATTAATGATTTGGGCCTTTTCGGGCCTTCCTGGCGGCCCTCTCGGAGGCCTCTTGGGCCGTCTCGGGCCATCTTAGGGAAAGCGCGCCACTGGATCACCCTGTAATTGAAAAGGGGGTGTGCTCGCAGACCCCTCCCCCCCTTTCCCCCTTCCAAGGGGGGTGAGATTTTCGACCCCCCCCCTCCCTCCCTTAAGGGGGGGGGGTCCTAACCCCCCCCCCCATTCACGGGGGGGGGGGGGTCCGGACACCCCCCCCTCCCCTCCTTGGCGCTGGAAAGGAAGGGGGGGGGGTCGGACCACCCCCCTCCCCTCTTTTGCGCTGGAAAAGGAGCCGGGGAGGGGGGGCCTCTCTCGCTTCTCTTTTCTGCGCCGGAGAAGGTGTCTAGGGAGTACAGAGTTGGGAGTAGGGAGTAGTGAGTCTTGAGTAGTTAGTGCGTACTGAGTAGTGAGTATTGGGTAGTGGGTAGTGGGTAGTGAGTGGCGAGTTGGGAGTAGGGAGTAGGGAGTGGGGAGTAGTGAGTAGTGAATAGTGAGTAGTGTGTACTGATAAGTGAGTAGTGAGTAGCGAGTAGTGAGTAGTGAGTAGTGAGGAGCGAGTAGAGAGTAGTGAGTACTGAGTAAGGAGTAGGGAGTAGTGAGTAGTGGGTAGTGAGTAGTGGGTAGTGAGAGGTGGGTCGCGAGTAGTAATCCGTGAGTAGTGAGTAGTGGATAGTGCCTAGTGCGTAGTGAGTAGTGAGTAGTGAGTAGTGAGTAGTGAGTAGTGAGCAGTGAGTAGTGAGTAGTGAGTATTAGTGAGTAGTGAGTAGTGAGAAGCGGGGAGTGAGTAGTGAGTAGTGAGTAGTGAGCAGTGAGTAGTGAGTAGTGAGTAGTGAATAGTGAGTAGTGAGTAGTGCGTAGTGAGTAGTGAACAGTGCAAAATAGGGAGTAGTGGTGAGTGGGCAGTGGGTAGTGAGTAGTGAGTAGTGAGTAGCGAGTAGGGAGTAGCGAGTAGTGAGTAGTGAGAAGCGAGCAGGGCGTAGTGAGTAGTGAGTAGTGAGTAGGGAGTAGTCAGTAGTGAGTAGTGGGTAGTGAGTAGTGAGTAACGAGTAGGGAGTAGCGGGTAGTGAGTAGTGAGGAGTGAGTAGGGAGTAGGGAGTAGGGAGTAGTGAGCAGGGAGTAGTAAGAAGTGGGTAGCGAGTAGTGGGTAGTGAGTAGCGATTAGTGAGTAGTGAGTAGTGAGTAGTAAGTAGCGGGGAGTGAGTAGTGAGTATTGAGCAACGAGTATGGGAGTAGCGAGTAGTGAGTACTGAGTACTGAGTAGCCGGTATTGTGTAGGGAGTGGAGAATAGCGAGTAGCGAATAGTGGGTAGTGAGTAGTGATTTGTGGGCAATGAATAGTGAGTAGTGAGTTGTGAGTAGTGAGTATACTAGTGGATAGTGGTTAGTGGGTAATGAGTATTGATTAGTGAGTAGCGAGTAGGGAGTAGTGAGTAGTGATTAGTGAATAGTGAGTATTGAGTAGTGGGTAGTGAGGAGTGAGTAGTGAGTAGTGAGTAGGGAGGAGGGAGTAGTGAGTAGGGAGTAGTGAGTAGCGAGTAGTGGGTGGTGGGTAGTGAGTAGTGGATAGTGAGCAGTGAGTCGTGAGTAGTGAGTAGGGGGTAGCGAGAAGTGAGTAGCGGGTCGCGAAATGAATAGTGAGTGCTCTTTGGGGCTGGGGCTAGTGGTTGGGGTTAGGGTTAGGGGCTTGGGTTGGGGTGAGGACTGGGGTTAGGGGTGGCGGGGGTCGGGTTCCGGAGTCGGGGGGCGGCGTGGCGAAAGGGGGGAGGGGGGGGGGTGCGGCCAAAGGGGGGGACGGGGGGGGGGGTCCGGACCCCTCCCCCTTTGAAAGGGGGGAAGGGGGGGGGGGGTCCCGACGACGGATCGGGGAAGGGGGGAGGGGGGGGGTCCCCCGACGACGGATCGAGGAAAGGGGGTGGGGGGGGGAGGGGTTCCCACCCCCGCCCCTCCTTTGGGAGATCCAGCGGCGCGCCCTCCATCTTAGGGCCATCTTCGGCCGTCTTGGTGGGCTTCTCGTCCGTCTGACGCCGTCGGAAGCCGTTATGGGGGGCCTCTCTGGGCCGACTTGGGGCCTTCTTGGAATGCTCCATGGCCGTATTGGAGGCCATCGTGGGCGTCTTACAGGCCTCCTGGGCCGTCTTGGGGGCCTCTTGGGGCCGTCTTGGGGGCCTCTTGGGCCGTTCTGCGGCCATCTTGGAGGCCTCTTGGGCGATCTTGGGCGAACTTTGGGGGCTCTTGGGCCGTCTCGGGCCGTCGGAAGGCTGAAAAGAAACAAATGTCAAAGTCCTTGAAACACCTATGGAAAATCAATGTGTTTGGTCTCTTCTGGCCTTCCTGGAGGCCCTCATGGAGGCCTCTTGGGCCGTCTTGGGCCAGCTTCGAGCCAACTTCGGCCATCTTGGTGGGCTCCTGGCACGTCTGACGCCGTCGGGAGCCGTTTGGTGGGCCTCTGTGGGCCTATTTGGGGCCTTCCTAGGGCGCCCCAGGGCCGTCTTGGCGGGCCATCTTGGGCGTCTTGGAGGCCATCTTGGCCCATCTTGGATCCCTCTTTGGGCCGTCTTGGGGGTCTGTTGGGCCGTCTCGGGCCTTCTTGGAGGCCTCGTGGGCGATCTTGGGGCGATCTTGGGGGCCTCTTGGGCCGTCTTGAGCCGTCGGAATGCCGAGAAGAAGCACATGCCAACATCCTTCAAAAACCTACGGAAAACCAATGATTTTGGCCTCTTCGGGCCCTCCTGGGCCTCTTGGGCCGTCTTGGGCCGTCTTGGAGGCCTCTTAGAGCCCTCTTCGACCGTCTTGGGCCATCTTGAGGCTATCTTAGGCTGTCTTGAGTGCATCTTGGGCCGTCTTGGAGGCATCTTGGGGCCATCTTGGCCGTCTTGTAGCTTGGAGGCTATCTT